GTTCTTATGTTAGAACTTTTAATGATATTATTAAATATATTATATTTATAATTTATAAATATATATACATGCATATATACGGTACATATATTTACATACGTATGTAAAATGGGATGTATTGATTCTACCCTGGTCAGATCCATTTTGAGGGCTGCATTCAGACATGGGCACCAGATTACAGAAAGGACAGTGATGTATATGTCTGTCTGTCTATCTATCATCAATCATCTATCTCAGGGATCTTCAAACCTGGCCCTTTTATGACTTGTGGACTTCAACTCCCAGAATTCCTCAACCAGGCACACTGGCTGAGGAATTCTGGGAGTTGAAGTCCCACAAGTCATAAAAGGGCCAAGTTTGAAGACCCCTGATCTATCTTCTCTTTATCATCTATCATCTAACTAGTGTCTATGTATGTATGTATGTATGTATGTATGTATGTATGTATGTATGTATGTATGTATGTATGTATGTATGTATGTATCTATCTATCTATCTATCTATCTATCTATCTATCTATCTATCTATCTATCTATCTATCTATCTATCTATCTATCATCTACCTAATCACTGTCCTTTCTGAAATCTGGTACCCATATCTGAACACAGCACTCAAAATGGATCTGACCAGGATAGAACCAATACATCTCATAATCTCGATTCTTTGTCCCCTAAGATAGCATTCTCCTTTTTAGCAGCTGCATCACTCTGCTGGCTCCTAATTAAATACTTGGATGGGAGATTCCAGAAAATCCCAGGGCAGTAGCCTGGACTGAGAAATTAAAACAAAATCCTCAAAGGAGGCAATGTCATGGATGACTCCATAAAGACATCAGGAGTTGGCTTGTTGCTTGAAAGTTGGCATTTGCCTCTTTTTTTTATGAATGTAATTTTCATGCACTTTCATTGTTATCCTCTTTGGTTCAGCAGCCCTTTAGGAAAAGGTTGATTGACTGATCCAGATAGAAACGCTTGAGGAAGATTGTTCTCAGTGGTCACCAAGTGGTCATGAGCTGTTTTGTCATTTTAGACTGCAGGACATGGAATAATCGATTTAAATTAGAGAAGGGTGGATTCCAGTGGAATATTTCTAATGATAGGAGCAACGTGATTACGGTTCATCTTCTCTAGTCGTGTTGAAGCAAAGGCTGAATAAGCATATGTCAGGCTTGTGCAAATGTGGATTTCTGCATTGAGTCGAGGGGCGGACTCCGTAGCCTTAATGGTCTGGTCCGAGGCTATAATTTGTGATGAAGGCAGCATTGAAGCATCTCCAGAGGACTTTTTGAAAAAGGTAGGCCACGTTGGCTGATTCATCCATCACCCCAAATGATCCGTTTTGCTCCTGAGAGCACTTCTTCGCAGCTGCTTTTGTGTATTTTCCTCTGGTTCTTGATTTGACAGAAAATTATGCCGGCCTAATTTGCATTGCCCTAAAAACTGAGCTCTGATCTATCCCAGCAATAAGGCTGGTTGTGTCCTTACAGCTTTACCAGGGGACAATTTAAGGACAGTTATCAATGACTCCCCTGGTTTGTTTTCTGTTCTCATCCGGCTGGTGGTGGTGGGGGGAAACAGCTACCAATCCCTCTCTTGAGCAGACATCTGGTGGGGCAGGTCTGCATGAGTAATGGGAACCCGGGAGAAAGATTTAGCTTACAGTCCTAAGTAGTGATGGTCATAAAGCAGGGCATCATGTGACTGACCCAATTCTATCATCTTTTTCGCAATGGTCATTCAGCAAATGCAGCAGTCGTTAAGTGAACGCTATGTTCGCTTGTTTGCTATGGGCTGTTTTTTTGCCGGAAACCAGAAGTAAATGCCATTTTTCAGTCAAAATGATGTAAATTGCAGTCACATGACTGTAGGATGCTGCAAGTGGCCAATGCGGGTCAGCTGCTGAATGTCTGAAATGTGGTCATGTGACCGTGTGGGGAGGGTGGCCATCGGAACTTCAGAACTGGGTCACAAGTACCTTTTAGTAAGGTCCATTGTACCTGAACGGTCATAAGTCGAGGACTACCTGAATTTTCAGGTTGTTGGCATGGAGGTGCTTTATGCTTGGTCGCTCTCGCAGGCTATTTCTGAACATGGGTCTGCTGGTCTTCTGAAAGACCTCTAAGCCTGTGTCCAAAAATAACCCAGGTCAGTGAGGCTGAGAAGGGTGAAGTGGGAGAGAGCTTCTGGGGTGGTGGAGGTTTTGTAAGGTGCTCTTCCACTTTAATTCTATGCCTCTAACTGTACCTCTGATCTGGAAGCTGGCAGAATTCTAGCCAGTTTTATGCCTGCTTCCAAATTCTGCAAATCAGTAAATGTTGCAATTGAATAATACGGCTGGGAGGGAGGGAGGGTGCCAGCAGCACACAGAAGTCTCCTATAGAGCACACAAAATGATGATGGAGTAGGCAAATTGGCATCACTGCCGCCACTCTACACACCCATGATAAAAACAGTGCAAAGCGCAGTTATACAAAAGTTGCAGAAGCAGCAGAAAACCTGCAGTGCCCTCATTTGGGACACAACCAGCAAAACACAGTAGGAAGAGCCTTGTTCTCTTTCCTAATTTAAATCACTTTTCTATGCAGAGAGTGCGAGTCTGTTTATTGAACTCAAAGCCTACTGCTCTTTCAAAAGAGCTAAACACATGTTTAAAACCATCCCAGTGTTCTTCCACTGGACCCATTCATTTAAGGAGTTCACATAAGGGCAGGGTGGCCCTTTGCAGAGTCAGCCAACTGAAGGTGGCCAGTGGGAGCTCCAGATCCTAACTCCTGATTGTACCATCACCATCATTGTAACTGAGTCATCATCAATGTTCATGTGGTAAGACTTGGGCTGGGAGAAGAGCAGGAAAGGCATTACTTTTTAAATCAGAACAAGTTAAATCAAGTTGGATGTCATCTACCTTTGAGGTGGGCTGGGGATGAGATGACGACTACACCATGAGGATGTGCCCTCTAAAAATACTTATTCAGGGCTTTTTGTGCCATGAGGATGAAGTCCAGCATCATTTCCTTTGCCACCTTGGTGTTCTTCAGCCAGTTCTCGCTTTGATTGAATGGATTGAGCATTAAGTCTCCAGTTCAACACACCAAGAGGCCAACGAGTGCCATTCACTGTAAATCTTATGGAGCTAAATGTTTCTAGGAAGACTGTAAGCTCCTTTTGGCCCGTATTAAAGACCTCCCGTAGGGTGAATTCTTTCCTCCATAGATGGTTCTGCTGTATAATCTAGCAGCTCTGGAAAATTTCCTAATTGCTGGAGACTCAGTAGAATGGAGCAATTACATGCCCTCATTTTTTCAGGGAAAATTACATGCAATCATGGGACAATCCACCGGTATGCAATTTAGGAGAAACATCATTATTTACCCCAGGCCAAGAACAATGGTGGTGATCTGAGTTTGGAGCCTCAAAATATCCCTTCTGCACTGGATTTTGACCAAAATTTTAATCCAAAAACCAAATCCAGGCCTATGCAGTCAACAGACCACCAATCCAATAAAGTCAGATTCTATAAACAATCCGAAAAAGGTCTTCTTAATGACACTAAGTGTATTTAATGCCTCTGGTGAGTAATCCCAATAGGCTTGTTATCCCATCAACTTGGCATAGAGTATCCAGAAGCTTAAGGTCAATACTGCGTCCAATTCGGGTCACCAAGATACAAAATAGATGCTGAGGCCCTAGAAAGAGTGCAGAGAAGAGCAACAAAGGTGATAAAAGGATGGTAAGTGTTAAGTCCTGGGAATAATGGCGCTTGAGACGATTCATCTTCAACAAGTCTTTATTGTTTGCTCCACTCTACGAACAACCCGAGCAGAGGCACGCAGGCCTCTATTTATACCCTCTGATCCCCGGGCAAGTTCAACCAATCATGAGGCGGGCTTTTCCCGCCTTGCGCATGTGCACAAGGCCGGCGCCGCTCAGTCTGGTCCCGGGCAGCTTCTGCAAATGCCCGGGACTCTTGCAATGTCCCGAGCCTGCATCTTGCAGGCTCAGGACACAACAGTAAGCTAAATCATATGACAAAAAGCTGAGGGAACTGGTATGTTTAGCCTAACAAAGAGAAGCCTTAGGGAAGACATGATAGCCGTCTTCCAGTACTTGATGGACTGTCATAGGGAAGAGGAAGTCGACTTATTTACCAAAGTCCCTGAGGGTAGGACAGGAAGTAACAGATGGAAACTTATCAAGGAGAGATACAGTCTGGAATTAAGGTGAAATTTCCTGACAGTAAGAACAATTAACCAACAGCTTTATTGGTTTGTTACACTTGTATGCTGGCCATCTCATCTAGAAGTGACTCTGGACAATTTATCTCTGGGAGGCATGGGTGCTCCATTGCTGGTGGAAGATTGGAATTCCATTTGTCCAGGATGGAATAAGGTCTCCTGTTTTTGGACAGGGTTGGACTAAAAGACCTCTAGGTTTCTTCCAGCCCTATGATTCTGAGTTTTGGAAACCTCTTTCTTTCTGGTGCTTTTTAAATTAAAAACTTGCTCTGCTGTGTTCTGGAGGAAAACAGATTCTTCTTTTACAACTATTATCTTCTGCTGGAGAACAGAAGAGCTTCCATGAACAGCACTGAAATGCATTGAAGCACATGATGATTTACTTGTTTTCTAGAAATAACAGGCGGTATCATTTTTTGATTTGATATTTAGCTGTTTGGCACATGTTGTTGAAAGGAGCTGCCAGAAATAGGCATTATTGGTAAGGACAATTTAATTTTAGTGGATCTCTTTTATACCATGACATCTAAGAAAATGGGTGTAAGGTCCTTGCTTAATTAAATCATCACTTAAAATAAGAACCAAATATTCTTAAGTCTCCGCCTTCCCAAAGGGCACTTTTCCCCTTCTTTTGACCACCATTCCCAAAACTGTCAATAAGCCTCTGTGCAGCCTCTTTAACACCTAATGTTTGTTTTTCTCTTGGGGAACCGATGTTTAATTTTTGCTTCTTCTCTTTTTGCTTCCTTCTCTCTGGGATTGTAGGAAAAGAGAAAACGCCAAACGGAGATTGAAAACAAACGGCGACAATTAGAAGATGACAGGCGCCAGTTACAGCACTTAAAGGTATTTAAGGGGTTTTCAAGCTCCTAATTTGCTCTTTTGAAAAAAGAAAAGACATTCATTTTTTATTTTTTTTATTTGTATCCCCTTTTTATTATTTGTTCAAATAACTTATGTGCAGCACATCTTCCGTTTCCTGTTTGCCCCACAACCACAACCCTGTGAGATGAGTTGGGCTGAGACTGTGTGATTGGCCCAAAGTCACCCAGCTGGTTTTCATGACTAAGTTGGATCTAGAACTCTCAGTCTCCTGGTGATTGGCTCAAAGTCACCCAGCGGGTTTCTATGGCTATGGTAGGACTAGAACTCGTGATTTCCCACTTTCTACCCTGGTGGAGAATTTTGGGTGAAGGAAAAGTGTGCTCTGAGCTACACTATCATAAATATATATGGGTCCATTATCCAAATGGAATAATGGGTGTCCTCTGCAACCAGTGGAGAAAAAGCCGAAAATCCAAGTTGATTCAGTACCATCAGGTTGTTGTTGACTTTTAGTAACAGCATAAATATTTTCCAGGGTGCTCTTTCCTCAACCTGGTCTTGTAATGAAATCTAGCAAAAAGTTTATTCCTGCATGCTTAAAAGGCAGAATGTAAACGTTACTGCATACATGTTTATTCTAAGAGAAAAGGCTGTTAATTGCTACTGCCTTCATGTTTCTTCTGGTCACATGACTAATTCATAATAAATATTTATTATTGTGGCTTTAGGAATTTTATCTGTTTTTATTGGTTGCTTTATTTATTGTTGTGCGTTGCCCGGACCGTCCTGTGGAGGGGAGATGGGCGACGATGATAAATTTGGTTAATAAATTTGATAAATAAATAAATGAACCCATGTTCTAGGGTTCATGTAGGACATTTCATCCTACCCCAGGCAAAGGACTGGGTTTGCATTACGCTGAGCTGCACAGCCTCCCACAAAAGATTAATATTAGCTGAGTTTAGCCTATTGTGCAAAGGCATTGCTAGGTCTTTCCCTGTCCTGATTAAGCCTGTAAGCCATAACAGCTATCAGGTTATGCAACAGAACAACACTGGGGGAGGGGGGCATATAAGGAATCTAATAGAAGAGAATACAGGTATTCCTCGACTTACGACCACAATTGAGCCTAAAATTTCTGTTGCTAAGTGAAACACTTGATAAGTGAATTTTGCCCCATTTTACAATAATAATAATAATAATAATAATAATAATAATAATAATAATAATAATAATAATAATAATAATAATAATAATAGTAAAGTTGGAAGGGACCTTGGAGGCCATCTAGTCCAACCCCCTGCTCAGGCAGGAAACCCTATACCATTTCGGACAAATGGCTGTCCAGTCTCTTCTTAAAAACTTCCAGTGTTGGAGCATTCAC